GCTGGGAAAGAGGAATTCATGCCAAACCTCAATCATTACACCTGTAAATCAGGGATATTAATACTCAATTTGGGAGTTGTTGTAAGGCTTGGTTCTTAATGTCTAGCTTCATGGATAGTAGGTGACCAAAAAATGGTGACCATTATTATTGGTAATATGAAAAAGGATGTAATTCATTTGCATGCCATTAGGCAATAAAGAGGTTCATATAAATGAATTTCAAAGACTAGAAGCTTTCGTCCTGAAATGTTCAACTTTCAGCTACTTTTTAAAATATATATCATAAAACTTTCCCTTTCTTGAGCATACAGGAATGACATATTTTATCTTATGATTCAGTGTCATTTTTTAGAACATCCATGATGAATTATTATATTCTGCAATAGGAATATTTGCTCCCAGATCATTCAGGTTCCCAAAAAGTGAGATAAGCAAGAAAAACATAGAGATGGGTGAGTGCTAATAAGACAATCCTTTTTTTTGTGGAGGCAGAACCGCTGAGTTGAATAAACACAGAGAACCGTAGGTTCAAGCTCTACCTTCAGCATTTACTGACTTCACCTTAGTTTCTTGCTCTGTTTTATATATCTCATAGGATCAGTTTAACCATTAGTTGAAAATCGACTTAGATAACTGAAAAATGGCCTATACAAATGCAGGGGAATATGGTAATTGAGTTTTCAGAAAATTCAGAATATAGGACAAGAAGCAAGCATAAATCAAACACAATCCCTCTCCCTACTGAATTCATATATACCACTTCTAGGCCAGCTATTTTTTTAAATTGTATAATTGGCACGTGACATTATGTTAGTTTCAGGTGTATAACATAATGAATCTATATTTGTATACATTGCAAAATGATCACTATAATAAATCTAGTCAACATCCATCATGATACATAGTTATAGAGTTATTTTTCTTGTGAGGAGAATCTTGAAGATGTAGCAACTTTCTAATATGCAATGTAATATTATTAACTATGGTAGCCATGCTATATTACATCCACATGATTCATTTTGTAACAGACCAGCTAGTTCTGAGAGGATTGCAGCTTGGTTTTGAAATGATTATTCTCATAGAAAAGAATCATGTGACTTTTATCTTTAAAAAGGAAAAGGCACACTGTACACACTTAGACACTGGGTAACCCAGATAGATTACTCCTTTTGACGGTATTGTCTTGGGTAATTGGAGGTTCCCTGCTCAACCCCTTCATAATCCATTGCACACTATGATCCCGCAGGAAGAGGTAGGGGAAGCCTACTAGGTTACATCTCAGTGTGGTCTGATACAGCAGTGTTCCAGCTCTGTCCCTGAGCATTGGAGGGTTCCACAGGGATGATTCAGGGCATGTGGTTAGTATGAAAGGCTCCAAGGTGTCCAAGATGGCAGAACTACCAGAGCCCTAAGAGTATCTCCACTAGTGTCTACCCAAATACCAGGATTTTATATGAGATTACATTTGTAAAGAATGGGTTCTTGGCTTAAGACCATCTATGACATTAAGTAGAAAGTGCTTTACCCATTAAGCTGTTTCTCTGGAGAAGTTGAGAAAATTACCACGATAAAATGTGAACCCAGTAAGTACATTCACCATCCATCCTCCTCTCTCATTTCTGCTCAACTGAGTCCAAATACGAACACCCGAAAAAGCTGCTCTGATCATTTCTATATTCAAAGACCTTTCCTCTTTTTCTAATCACCAATTTATATCCCTGTATTGGTCAAGATAGGCTGATGGCTGTAGCAAACAGTTCCAAAGTTCTGTGACTTATCACATTATCAAGACCATTTCTCCTCTAGACAAAGCCCAGGACCAAACCTTTTGTCAGGTGGCACTCTCTGTTGGCTGTGCTCCTCAATGAGGAGGTTGGATCCTCCCACCATGGCATCCCCTAGGCCACCTTAGAGGTCTCAGATAGATTTTCTGCCATCCGTAGAACAAGAAGTGACAGTGTGAGGATGTCATTGGGCATTTGAAGAGCTAGATGTGGAACTGGCATACATGACCTCCTCCCACATTCCGTCGGCCATAACCAGTCACATTGTCTCATATAGAAACAAAAAGAGCCAATGTAGAATTGGAAATAGGAAATAGAGAATTCCTTGGTGGTTAAAGGGAAAATGAAATTATTTTTAAACAATGAGTATTATCTTTTCTGTACCATTACATTAACTCACCGTTGTCAACAATCTGAACTGCCTGGGGGTACAGATACCTAGGCATACATCTTAAATCCTCAACTAGATGCAAGCTCCTAAGGATAGAGGTTATGCTTTATATGCTACTTCCTGTAATTCTTGAATTGCCCAAGTTTATTAGTTTAAATCATTATAAAAACAGACTCAGTGACAATTTCATACCTTCAGAAATATAGACCACCCCCCCTCCTTCTTTGCCTCAATATAGTTATTGGGAAGTATTACAGCCCCACAGCAGTGTACCTCAATAGGCTTTTATTCAGGGCCCTAGGCCAATGGCAACCCTGTCATCCCCAGGCCGGCTTTGTGCATTGCGATGCCAAGTAGCAGAAAGATGAACCTGGTGGAATGTGCATGCACATTTTATGGATCAAGCTGGGAAGAAGCACATATTTCTACTCATATGGCACTGGGAAGAACTCATTGGCATGGCCTCACTTCCCTGCAAGGGTTATTGGGAAATTTAGTTTCTAGCTGGGTAGCTGCAAACCAACTCAATTACAATGGAAGAAGGGGATAATGCATATTGATGATAAACTCTGTCTTCCCCACACAGGGAGAGGGAACTTTCGCTCATTCTAACAATTCTTCAAATTAGGCTTTGCCATTCCCTATTTCTGAAGTTAGACACTGTAACTTAAAGGTGAAGTAAGGTGCCCAGTGGGATACATCTGCTGGATCTTACCATTGGGATTTGCACCTATTTCTTGCTGGCTCCCAAACCCACTTTTCTTCTGTACTTGCTGCGTCTTGCTCATGGTAGGATCACAGTAAGTATAGCAGGATGATTCCTTATACCTGTGCCACTATATTCTTCTTAAATCCTCCTTCTGCTTCCCCTGCCTTTTCAAAGGTAGTGATGTGTGAAGAGTGACTTCTGTTGGACACTCAACACAATGCTGTTAAGTGCTTTTAACATTCTACATTCTGTTAAGGGGAAAACACACGAGTCAGAAATTCAAATCAGACTCTTCCTTGTCTCTTGACATATTCTATTTTTTTGGTAACTGTTTCTTCTCATTATGTTTGGCTGGAATGCTGAAAAAGTGTCTACTAATGTTCCATCTCTGCAGAGAAACTGATGATAATTTGATGGGAAGGACAGAAAACTCACTTTTCTTCCACCTTGAGGAGTGTGAAACTAACAGTGAGACCTCAGGGAATGCTAAGGAGGGAACCGAGGTGACAAAGTGAGCCCTTGGCTCTGCTGATGCCGTCTGGTGATGGTTCCCTCTGCTCTTGAAAGGGGTGTTTGCCTTTTCTGGGTTCCATTCTGCCATGAAGGGGCCATGGGAAATGCTGTGCTAAGTTATAACTATACCACCTAAGGAGTGGGGATTAATTAAGCAATGTTGTGAGTAGTTTACAAGCCCAGAGTTCTGGTCTCTCAAAGACTTAATGTTTTATAGCTGTACTAATAACAGAGCAAAGAGGGCAAGAGCAGCTCCCTCAACCTCATCTCTCCTTTCTCACTTTTTCTTTCTCTCCCCTCTTCTCTCCTCTCCTCTCTGTTTTGCATACACACATAATCTCCAGATCACTCTGTTTAAGAGTCTAAGTAGGCATAAAGATAGCCTTGATTTGGATATAATTCTGTCATTGACTAGTTCTATGCCTTTGACCAATCCACTCAACCTTTTGAAGCCCCATTGTCCACATATGTAAAAATAGGGATGTCATTTGCACTTATTGCATAATTATTTTGATAATGAACTATATATATATATAAAAAAATTACACTATACATAGAAATTTAATGCATTTGATACATTTTAACCATCTCATTTTAATCTTAAATTTGAAATGTCTAAAATCTTCTCTAATGTATACCTTTTCAGACTAGTGAAAGCTGAGTGGATTTTTGTTTTGTTTTGATTTCCAAGTCCACAGATAAGAGAAGAAAGAAGGAAGTACATGATTACAAGTTTTGCTTTCTTTTTTTCTTTTTGCTTCTTTTAAAATTTTAACTTTAGGGCCACCATATTGCTTAATTCAATCCACATTTACCCACATTTCATCACAATGTAACTATAACAACTGTCCACCTATTATTCCTGAAGTGAGCCAGTTAGACGCGACTGCATACATAACTGTCTGGTAACGCAGTGGTTTAGCTCAACTCCACAATGTTGAAATAATGATTGCCAGTGTTTTGATTCTGGCTGGAAGATGAAGAGGAATCACAAGCATCCCATGGAGGGGGCTTGTTGGAACCTCAATACCCATTAATTGGGAAGAATGTAGGAGGAAAATGCCAAGCCCCCAAAATAATTTTGTTTTGACATTTCCCATATGCAAGTCCCTATGTCTGCTGGAAATAATAGAGATCTATTCTATTTGAGATCAGGTTTCCCCTGGTGCGATGTTGTACACTGTGGAAGAAGATTGGTAGGCTTTGCAGTTCAAAACACTGTCCTTTTTAGAGGCCTGAGAGTGTTGACAATGGGAAGTTTTTTAGGGTGACTAATGCTCTTTATGAATAAACTAGATCCTTAAGTTGTCCTCTGAAAGCCTATTTCAGGCTTAACCAAGACCTCTTCTTGGAAAATTAATCTAAGTTTTTCTTAAGGTTCAGAAAAACCTCATTCTTAAAGTTGGATCAAAAATCCAGATTCACCTAAAATATATCAGGAAACTCTCTGCTGAGTCCTTTGCTAGGAGCTTCTACAACCCTCATGTCAGTGAGTTATCGCTGCTGATCCCCTCCACTCCCATGGTTATACTGAGGTGTCATTTACTTTTCAAATTAAGACATACCACCCTTCTCCTTTAGCTGTCACTCTTGGTGCACCTATGTGAAAAATCACAAAGTATTTCTGCTGATGCAGACCTCACCAGGGAAAGATCAACTCATTGTTTGAAAACCACTTCAGCCAGCAAAGGCACTTCAGTCAGGGATTGTCATTCTGAGCTTTCTTAGGTAAGACTTTCCCCGGGAGGTGGTACTCTAAGACTAGAGGCATTTGTGAAACAGGGTGGGAATTAACAATGAAGACTATACCCTTGGCTTATATTTCCTTTTTGCATAATTTGAAATATCCCTCTGGCTATGTAAAAGGGGAGAAGAAATGAAAGAAAGCCTGGGATCTAACCTCTGTTGTCATTTCAGTGGAGAAGAGGAAAGCACGGGGAGTTTACAGCTCTCCTGGTTTACCTGAAACGCTGGAAGTCTGTCTGTCAACCGGAGGATCCTTTCTTGTCTTGTCTTGTTTTGGAGCTAGGATGAGAGCTGATAGTCTTCACCCTGTTTAATTTATGTAGCTTCAGAAAGAAGAGTTGTCAGGGCCAACATAATGAAAAAAGAAAAAAAGCATACGAGCCTGGGACATGTCTAAACCTTCTCCAGCAGCATTGTCACCTCGCTCGTCAGGTAGGAAGAAAAACAGATTAAAAAGCAAGTTCTTTGTTTCCAAATTCCAGGCTTGCAAAGGATGTATTATGATACTCATTTCAAAATATGGTTACATCTTGAAAGCATTTTTGTTAGAAAGGCATATTATCTTTAACAATGAGGCAAGGGGAAAAAAGAAGTTGTGTTACAGTAGACTCTTAAAATACCTTAGCAGATCGAACTTTATATATATCTTTTTACATTAGCTTTCAGAAATCCTTGGCAGGAACAATAGGAACGGTTCAAAGTTCAATTTATAATCATAAGCAGACTTCTTTCCCTCTTCTCCCCCACGCCTCTGTACTGCTTCAGTTTTTGTGTGTGCTTGGAACGGGTGGAGAGAAGAGAAAGGGTCAAATTTGAACATCTTTTTTCCCCTCTCCTCCTCAGGATGAGCTTTAATTTCATAATAGGATGGTTTTATTCAGAGTCAACTACTTTAGTTTGGGTTCAGAATGATAATGGTAGAAAATACAAAGTAATGTTTTAAAAGCTCAGTCTGTGAAAGAAAGGAATAATGCCACTTAGTAAAAGCATATGTTGCTAGTGGGACCTCACAACCACATTCAAATCGTGCTCTTGCCAAATCACGTTATGTTTCTAAAGCTTCTTATTTAAATTTCCCAAGCGGGGTTCATATGGCATGTTCTGTGTTTTCGCTGCACAGCATTGAAGGAGGTCCTCAGAAATCTTTCCCCTTAAGAACCAACTTTTTCTTTTCGAAATAAAAGCCCTAATTAAACCTCGTTTACATTTGTGGAATGCAGGACTCCACGCCACTGACAGCAACAGGAAAAGAAAAAAAATCTGCTCTTGGCACTGTGGCAGTTCGGATAACGGCCCGGGGTGCTGGAGAGCAACAGCCCGTAGGCTCAGAGGCCGGCCCACGCTCGCTGTGTGCTGGCCCAGATGAGATGGTCCCGGTCACATGGCCCTGAACCGCCTGCTGATCAAGTCTGCGTCTCAAGAATGACTGCATTAAAGCCGCTCCAGGCCAGAGTAGTCTTTACTTCAAAAGATTAAAAATAAAAAGTCACTGACTTGCCGATTCTGTTACCTATTTGTTGGAACGCATTTCAGTGCTTTACAAAACCTGGAGTCCGGAATTCAGCCTGAAGTTGAATGTCGCCAGTGAATGTGTAATGTTGCCTCTCACATTTGAAGACGGTTTCTCTGTAGCCTGCTTTTCTGTTTAGAAAACCTGATTCATTTTGCTTCTCTTTAGGCTCAGTTTCATCATTGTTTATGATCTTAATAGTTCTCTCCTGGCACCTCTGAGTTCTTTACAACTTAATTATCATATCTATCCCTACAATGAATACCGTGGTATCCTCCTCCCTACCTTCCAGGCTTGGTTGTTAGCTTATATGAAGCATCAGCTACTATAAGTCGGAGATCTGAGTCACTTTCTAAAATACAGACAACCGGAGAGAGATACTCCCTGTTAAGGCCACATTCCCCAGTGGGTGCTGAACATGCAAGCTCTCCAGTTTTGACTGTCAGTTGCTATGTGGGTCTGCTCAGTCTAAATATCTGTCTCCTGAACTAATGGGGTCATGATTCAGCATTTTACTCAGAAAACAAAAGGATTTCTTGAGAGTAACAGAATTATGGGGGCTACAAAATATGGTTTATGAAATATAATTCTACAAGTGCATTGTAAATTCTATATTGTGAGGTCCTGATATTTATTTCTAATGTCACCCTCCCCTGCCCCCTCCACCAGGTTCTCTCTTTTTTACTCTTGCCACCCCATTCCCCTTTATCACCCCTGAACTAGAAATTTTTTTGAAAACTCATATACAAGGTAAAAGGATAGCTTTGTTCTTTCTTATCCAGATCTTTCTTCATTCAGTGTCTGCTGCCATTCTAAGTGCTTTACCTGGCTTATGCTCTCTGTTCTTGTCCATTGAGCTTTCATATTCTGTTCAAATTTCACTTAAAATAGACACTTTTTGTTCCCTGACAAACAGCATAATGTGGTTCTGAGCACTGGATGTCTAGGTCCATCTTGGCTCTGTGATTTGGGGCAATTTATTGAAGTTTTCTGCAAAATGAAGATAGAAAGCATCTTTATATGTAGTGTTGTTAAGAGGATAAAATGGGTTAGTGCATTTCAAGCACTTAGAATGGGGTGTGGCCATAGAAGTCTTTCTACATTGATACTGGCTATTATTATTCAATTATATCACTCTGCAAAATGTTTGGATTCTTCTTCTCCACAGCCTGAAGTTATTTGTCTCCCTCTAATGCAAGTGCTCTGTATTCTCTTTTTTTTGTTTTGGTCAAAGATAGATCCTGCCCCATGTTTTAGCAATGAAAGGAGATGTATAGTTTGTTACTTTTGTCGGGAAGAGCAATGTCCTGATTTGAGTTCAAGATGAACCCCTTCTCCTTAATGAGAAAAGACACCAAGGCTCTATTTCTTCCTGTGAATTTCCTAGTAAACAATGTCCTAGCAATTGTAACCATATTCCTTTTCTCTGAGGTGGATTTACTTGAATAAGACAATTCGTATATGTGCAAATATATTTATTTCAAAAATTCAGTTCCTGGGCCTTTGCTTTATGTACATTCTTCTAGTCATTTTGAGTCTCAAATAGGATTTCTGTATCACTTGTATCACAGGAAATCTGAGGAGAATGTTCTGACACTCAAGTTATTTTCTTAAGTGGAAAAGTATCAGGCTGAGAACTAGTCCCCAAAGAACTCTACATGATACTGATGCGGCCCTTATGAATAATATACATTCTAAGTTGTGTAATATGCAGCTGTAATCAGTAATCAGTATAGAATGTACTCAATCTTTGATTTTGCTATGTCTGCAAGTCTTGTCAGAACATAATGAAAAGGAAACAGATTTGGCTGAAGGAAATACATTAGAGAAAATGGATTCATTTGCCTCACAAAATATCTTATCTAGTATCCTGTGATCCTCTAGGTGTTTGCAAATTCATTTTTCTATGTTATATATTAATAGGAAAACTTAACATGCTGAAGGCTGAGAGAGCAGGCTCAGGAATCAGATTGCTTAGGTATGCATGCTGCCTCTTCTACTTATCTGCGTATTGGGTGTTTATGCAGATTACTTAATCTCTCTAAGCCTCAGTTTCCTCCTCTGTGAAATAGGGATGATCATAGTACCCACTCCATATAGTTGTTGTGAGGATTAAATGAAATCATGTCATTGTGTTTGCTATATAGATGCATTGAAGAAGTAATAGTGATTATTAAATGTGACCAACATTGTTAATCATCTTGAATATTTTCTTTGTCCCTTAGTCTGAAAACATATAAAAATATAGCTGTCTTTTGGTCCCCATGCTTGTTTCTTATTACCAGCTATCAGAATGTAAACAGGATTCTGATAGGTTGCCTTTTCAGTGCCACCACTTGAGAATTTTTCTTTAAATCTGCCTTTCAGTCTTCTCCTGTATGCATTCCTAAAGAATTCTGAATGCTCCTTGAGTGCAACATGCATACTAGGCACAGGCAATACTTTTCTCCTTGTCTCATCCTCCCAGTATGTAGAGTTTAAGACATTATAAGAAATAATTTAGCAAGACCCTAGTTCAATAACAGAACATACTAGGGATATTAGGAGGGTGCACATATAACTATTATCCAAACAGGGACACTCGACAGGGTGAACCCAGCACTATTCATAATGATGTTGGGACACCAGGTGTGTGCTAGGGCTGACCATTTGGGCAAACCAGGGCAAATGGTCACCTATGAATTTTTCTCTCATCTAGTTTTGAATAACAAATCACCTTAAAATCAAGTGCCAGAAATTAGCAACTATTTTGTTGTACTTAGAATTTTGTGGGACAGAAATTCAGAAATAGCATAGGTGGTCAGCTAGTCACTGCTCCATGATGGTTAAAGCCTCTGCTGGGTGGCTGGAATGGCTGCAGATGCAGGGATAACTCAGCTGGGACCATATGTCACGGGCCTTGGTTCTGGCTGTCCACTGGCATTTGCTGTTGCTGGAATGGAGTAACTATGAAGAATCAAGCAAGAAGATAGCTGAAGACTATTAAAAAGGTGCAGGGATCCTGGCAAAAGGAAGACCAGGCTTGTGTTAGGAAATATCTAACACAGTGTCTCCAAAAGTGTAATATGCATCATCAGTGGTTTTAAAAGGAGTTGATGTTAAATAATATTAGTGAATTGTATGTTTGAAAAAAAAATCACTTTCAATCCTTTTGATGATTCATGAAAAAGGGGAAAATCTGTTTGCTACTGGTATGTGCTCAACATCACATAACCCTCAATGACTTCTCTCTAGCAAATGGAGCAGACCTCAAATACAAAACCTTCAATATGCAGCAGTTTAGCAAAAACTAAACAGCATGGTTTTGTTTTCATTGTAATTTTACTATTACCTTCTAATTATGACAATACCTTTTTTTAAATGTATAAGTTTTTCCTTTGAAACAAATATATGGAATGGGGATGGTTGTACAACATAGTGAATATACTGAAAACCAGTAAAGTGTTTAGAAACGGGGGGGATGCTGTGGGATGTTTTGATGGGAGCCAAAGTCAGATGGACGTGGGAGAGAATGTGCTGGAGCTTCTCGGCCTTTTGTACACAGAGATTCACAAAAAGCCAGAGAACAGTCAGCCAACCCTGAGAGGGCATTTGCAGAACTAGGCCTGAAGTGGAGTTACGGATGTGCCCTAGAGCAGGTCACAAGCCCCAGCCTCACCCCTAAGCTAACAAGGTCAAGGATAAGTGAGAAGAGTCTGAGTCGACATTGTCTTCCCTTCTTTATCTTCCCCAAACCAGTAACTTTGGCAGCTGTGGGTAAATCAAATGTTTCCATGGGATAGAAAAAGAAGGTTTAAGTTGGATAATAACTACTAACTGAAAATGGAAAAGTACAAATTTAATAGCTGAAAGTGCCTGAGAGATTTTTGAAATCTGCCCAAGATGTGATTCAGTAATCTTGTCCACAGGATCAGGAGATGTGACATAACACAGGGGGCGGTGATTTGTGAAAAATAAAACTGTAGCACGATTTTATCCTGCCAAGCTAAGGCAATTTAATAAATCACTTAGCTATCACCTTAAAAAAAAAGCACTGGCAAATATATATCAGTGAAAATTAGGGTAGGACAAAAATACTATGCCTGTAATAGAATATGGCAAAATCATAATGGTGGTGCAGGGATAATTAAAATTTGGGAAATACTTAAAATGCAAACAATGAGGTAATTTTTAATCATGATGCCTGACATGGGTACCACTTGAGTTATTTTTCTCTACTAAAACTTTCAAAGTTCTATTGAAAGCCAAAGAAATCATCTGGGAGTGAGGGAGAAGAGAAGTTTACCTTTAGCTCATTGCTAGTTATTATCACTAATGCATTCAATTATCAGATTAATGGGGAACTGGTTGTTGTAGAGTTGAACAGTGAACTTAGGGCATCTCTGGAGCCAGAGGCCCTGCCTGGCAAGTGACAAGTTAATCTGAGCCAGGGAGGGCACCAAACACTGCCCAATGAGACAGATGCTGGAGGAAAAATGCCCTTAGCAAACAGTTCCATGGCTTTTGCTTCTGACTGTTACAGTTTAGATTGTGTCATTGCCGTGCTGACTCCCCCTTCATTATTGCTCCTCACTTCTCTAGAAATCCTCTTGTTTAATTTTAAAGCCGTGACTTATGCCTGTTCCTGCTAAGGAATGATGTCCCCTGTTTGACCAATGTAAAAACCCTTTATGGAAATGATTCTTTTGTATATACTCAGGGACTGGTCTTTGGGAGTTAGAAATCAACATTCATAATATTAAAAGTATAATTTTAATTTTAAGAACAAATCGCACACATAAATGTGTTGTGTGATTATTTTTCCAAGGAACATGTTTTGGGAAAGAGCCTTGGTTTTTTTCTAGAAAGAGATGAGTTCAAGTCCTATTTCCACCTCTTACTAGGATATTGAACTTTGTCACAATACAGAACCTCTGTGATTCAACATTCTCATCTGTCACCTAGGGATAATGGTTCTTCTTTCATTGTTATAAAGTTACAAT